CATCACACTTCCAGTCCACACTCTGATAATGATCTAACTCCTTCCAGACAGAGATCAAGTCTGAGTAGTACACAGATAGACACCTCTCCCCCTGTTTATAAGTAGACGATTCTACCTATAGCTGGTAGATTTTTGCATAGTGTCGCAGTTCCGAATATGTTGATTTTGCTTGTTCCCAGATCTCATTTGCTATTTCAGCCCACATGAAATTCCTTCTTATTTGAGGTTGCATAGAAACTAAAAACCAAGACATGACCATGCTGTTTTCCTAGTTCCATCTGTCATATTCAGCACTCCCAGAATGTGATTCTTTGATTCTCCCATTAATATAACCTATCTTTCCCCTTGCAGTGATATACAGCTTGATCCCTCTTAACCACTCTAAATAATTTAAACCATCGAGAGAAATAATAGCCATGGGAAATGATAGGTCCACACCTCCACTCATTCCATTCAGCATTGAGGTAACACCGGATGTAGCAGAATCTTCAGCACTCATGATTTCATATTCAAAAACAACTCTTAAATGGGTACACAGCCTTAAACAAATTCAACACTGAGGGGGAACGAAAAAAAATTCTTCAGAAACATACCTCCTTTTGTAAAAACACAAGTGCTGTTACAGCACTAACAGGTCATCCCTTGACTCACAAGCTCAACACAAGTATTGCCTCAGTGCATACAGGTCATCTCTTGACCTACGCATCAACAGGACTGCTGTTACAGCAAGTACTGGTCACTTTCTGACCTTTAGTTCACCATAAAAGCTGTTGTTGCAGCACACAAGAGGTACTAGTCACTTTTTGACCCTCAGTTCACCATAAAAGTTGTTGTTGCAGCACACAAATAGGTCCTTACGACCTACAGTTTCACAGGGATCAATCGACCCCACAAAAAAGGAAAGAAAGAGGTGTTGATCACCTCACATCCAATCGGCAGACCTAGTACAGGTTCTGCCCTGGCACACGACCAGAAAAACACGGTAAGAGAGAGAGAGAGAGAAAAGTTACTTCAGTTGTGAGATCATCAATCAGCCAAACAGCAGATGAGAGCGGCAGATCTGGAAATCTGGTGCGAAAAAGAAAAAAAAAACTGTTCACTCGACTTTTCCTTTCAGATCTGATAGTCCCGCTCTGATACCATGTTATGCAGGAGAGAAGAATGGAAGAAGAGAGAAAAGAGAGAAGAGAGAACTGAGAGCAAAAGATACTGCTGGCGGCACAGCTTTTTTAATATATATACTAGGGAAACAGCAACTAAAATAAAAAAGAGTAAGAGTACAATAGTACTCCTGCAGTACTATACATAGGAAAAATAACAGTTGTTAACAACCACCTTTCTCCAAACCCACAGTTCCTCAAAACTTGTAAAAAGAATTGCCAATCCACCAAATCATAGGCCTTTTCCAGATCCAACTTACAAATAAAACTTTTCTTCTTAGATCTTCTCGTTTCCTCTAGCCACTAATTAGCTACTAAGATCTGGTCTATAATTTGTCTCCCTTGTACAAAGGCCCCTTGGGATTTGTCGATTAAGGAGGGAAGAACTTCTTTAATCCTCAAGGACAATACCTTAGCTAAAATTTTGTAGATACTAGTCACTAAGCTAATTGGTCTAAAGTCCTTAGGGTGAGTAGTAGCAATCTTCTTAGGGATTAAAGCCAAAAAAGTAGCATTCACTCCCAGGCTTACTATGAGACTATCTGCAAACTCTAACACCTCACAAAGATCATCTTTCAGAATCACCCAAGAATCTTGATAAAAAATCATTGTAAAACCGTCTGGACCCGGCGCCTTAGATGTATCCATAAAAAACATTGCCCTTTTAATCCCCTCTTCTTCAAAACTTCTTTCCAATCAGCATGCCTTTTAATCTCCCAAACATGGCCACTCCAACCCTTCAAGAGGTAACCTCTCATTCAAAGGTCTTCCATAAAAAGATTTGAAATGATTAACAAAGGTTCTAGATATTTCCTCTTGGTTAGTAATTATCTCCCTTCTAATTCTAATTTGGCTACGAAGTTTTTCCTTTGTTGTCCATATGCTAAATCATGGAAAAATCCGGTGTTCCCATCACCTTCCTTAATCCATTGATGCCTTGATTTTTGCCTCCAACAAATCTCCTCCCTTAGCAACACATCTTCCAGGTCTTTTTTCAACCACCTCTACTCCCTATCTTGTTTGTTCAACAACCCTCAGGATTCCTTCTCATCCAACTCATCGATTTAAGTGATAAGGTTCAACTTTAGTTCCTCCACTCTTCTGAAATGGTCTCTATTCCGCTCTTTCAATATGAATCTAGCCTGTACAGCTTCTTATGGAATCTCACTCCCTTCCATTTTACCCCCTTAACTCTTCATTCCAAACCCGGTCAACTCCTTCACTTTAACCTCAAACTCCATATGTGTTAACCACATGTTTTCAAATCTAAAGGGTCTAGGACAACTAATAAAGGATTCTACACCTATCTTAATTGGACAATGGTCAGATGTGACCCTCGACAAAGCTCTAGAAACCGGGTTACCCCAATGATTTTACCAAGCTAATGTGAAGAGGAACCTACCTGGATCCAAACACAGGATTTTCCTGGAGGTTAGACCAAGTGAACCTATTTTGCAACTATGGGATTTCCTTCAATTCGCATTCAGCTATGAAATCATTAAATTTCCACATGTTTGTTGTAATTGACTGTTGGGAGTTACTAGTTTTATCTGAAAATCTTATTATATTAAAATTCCCTCCCACACACCAAGGACCATCCCATAAACCTTTAATTGCAAACAGCTCCTCCCACGTTTCATTTCTCTCTATAGGAATTACGGCCATACACCATTAGTTAATAAGATTTTCATATAAAGATCAAAGAGTCTTGGTAAAAAAAATGAGGAAATCAAACAAAGATGGAAAAACTATTTGAAAAATTATTAAATGAACAACAGGGAGATGGTGCTAATGGAGGAGAAACTAGCAATACTAATAGTGTTAAAATTAATATGTACCTTCATAGAGTTTGACCTATTTTAGTAAAAGAAGCACTAAATAAGATGAAGAAGGGAAAGGCGTTAGAATGTTACGGGATTCCAATATAAGTATGGAAAGATATGGGAAAGGTAGGCTTGTTATAGGCTTATAGCAAACTAAGCTATTTAATAAGATGGTAAAAGAAAGGAGGATGCCTAGTGATTGGAGAAATAGTACTATGGTGGCTATATTTAAGAACAAAGGTGATATACAAAGTTGTAGTAGCTATTAAGTGATTAAACTCATGAACCACACTATGAAACTTTGGGAGAGAATACTTGAACAAAGATTATGACTTGAAACAAGTGTATCAGAGAACCAATTTGGCTTTATGCCAAGGAGATCAACCATGGAAGCTATATTTCTTTTGAGGCGATTGATAGAAAAGTTTAAAGAAAAGAAAGATCTTTATATGATATTCATTGATCTAGAAAAGGCCTATGATAGAGTTCCAAGAGAGATTATATGGTGGGTCCTGGAAAAGAATGAGATTCAAAATAGGTATATACACTAATAAGGATATTTATGAGAGGGCAACAACTAATGTTAGAACACCAGTGGGAGAGATTTCAGATTTTATGGTCACAATAAATCTTCACTAAGGTTCAACACTTGGCCCTTATCTATTTTTACTGATCATAGATGAATTGACTAAACATATTCAGGAAGAAATTCCACGATGCATGTTGTTTGCAAATGACATTGTTTTAATTGATGAAACTAATAAAGGATTAATGCAAAATTAAGCTTATGGACAAATGCCCTACAAACAAGAGACTTTAAAATAAGTAGGACCAAAACAGAGTATATGGCATGTAAATTTAGTAATAATAGGAGTGTAAATCAGGATATACTTGGGATTGAAAATCAAGATATAACTCAATGTGACCATTTCCGGTACCTTGGTTCAATAATTAATAACAAGGGAGAGATTGAGGAGGATGCCACCCAAAGAACCAGAGCAGGTTGGGAAAAAATGGAGGGTGCATCTGACTTTTGTGTGATAGGAGAATACTAGTTAAATTAAAAGGAAAATTCTATAGAACAGTTGTAAGGCCAACTATGTTGTATGGAGCAAAGTGGTAGGCAGTCAAAAAACATGTTCAGAAAATGAGTGTGGCAAAAACGCGAATGCTAAGATTGATTAGTGGAAAAACTAAAAAGGATAGGATTAGGAACGAAGCCATCTATAGAAACCTAGGAGTAGCTCTAATAAGTGATAAAATGAAAGAGTGTAGGCTAAGATGGTTTGGTCGCATGCATAGAAGACCACCAACCACCCCAATTAGGAGTGATTTGTTACAAGTGGAAGGGGATAGAAGAGCTAGGGGTAGACCAAAAAGGACATGGGTAGAAGTAGTAAGAAATGATTTAAGTACTAAAAAATTAATAGTGGATATGGTTTTTTTAAATAGAATGGATTAGCAAAACAAGATTCATGTAGCCGACCCTATATAGTTGGGATAAGGCATGGATGATAAAGGGGATTAAGTATGAGGATCAGGGCCCATAGCAATACAATAATTTCCTAAAGGAAATAAAGAGCAAAAAAGGAAATGGCTGTCAATGTGCAACAGATTGGCAGATGAATTGGCGAAACAAGGGGTAGATCGAGACCTATTATTTTGGAGAAGGGTGGAAAATGGGGATGCAGCTAATTTTGTATGGAATATTTCAATTTGAGGTGACTTTCTTGGCTACCCAATACTCAATGGTTGACATCTTTGTAAATATTTTATTTTCCCATAGGCCCAATTTAGGAAGAGTGCAAAACCTTGTATACGCTATTTCTAAACCTTGTACTTGCACACTACATACTTGTATTTGCACACTTCCCAAACTGAGCCATGACAAAATCTGTTATTCATAAACAAAACAATGTATATTAATCTCAAACATGATGGAGTGCAACATGCAATAGAAGGTTACAAATTTACAATAGAAAAGAACCAAATAGTAGCAGTGTTAAGGAGGACTTACATCATCAGCAGAAATCCTAACTTGTAATTTGTGCTTACATTCTGGACAACTCATCACCCCCTGCAATGTCAAGAATTATATCTGAATAAGATGAAAAACTGTAGGTATCATAATGGAATAGTTCACATGTATATATAGATAGATAGATAGATAGATAGATAGATAGATAGATATCCATCCATTAGGGGTGGGTGACTACTCACTAAGAGAACAAGTAATGGCGCTCCTTTGAGGGCTCAGATTGGCTAAACAGTTGGGTTTTCAACAGTTAGAAGTGGAGGAGATTCAAAATTGGTCATGGGCTGGATGCAAACAAATAATTTGGGTGCTTGGCCCCTTAGACAGCATATAAGGGAAATAATGAACTTGACAAGAGAGCTTGGAGTATAATTTAACTGGGTTAGGAGGTCAGCAAACCGGTTGGCTGAGGTTTTAGCAAAGCAAGGGGTTCATAGGGAGACTTTATTTTGGGCATGCTTGTAAATTGATTATGTTACGAGGGGCCACTTTTTTGGAAAGTGACAGTTGTAATTCTATAATTCTCAAGCTTAATGAGAGTTACTATTTCCTATCAAAAATAAATAAAAGTACACATCAAAAGCTTATTGTATTATTGAAAAAATGTACCTTTTCTACATAATTCAATCAGAAAAACTTATTCATAACATTTTAAACATAATATTGGTAAAAGTTATTGATTAACTACTAAAAGAAATGAAAATAAGGTCGGTCGATGGAAAGAGTCCTCAATGCTAATTTTTAGAAGTATTTTATCCAGGTAGAATTTACCGATCCACTGCAAGTTGGGCAGTCTTTGGAGGGCAGTGGCAGTTTTAGATCAACAGTAGAAGGAAGGTGCACCAACTCAGCCCTGTTGTCAGCAATGGCATCTGCAACACACTCAGCTGTTTCCCTCTCACCACTGCACAAGGATGTTAGAAACCATAGGCCTATATCAGTTCAAATATGATATAGTAACATATAAATAAAAGAATACCAACTTAAGAGAAAAAAGAAAATTGATCCATCCCTCTACCAACCTACACCTTAAAACCTAACATAAGCCTGCTACACAACAGAAATAACAACAAGACCATCCCCAACATGCTGGCATTTTGGTGGAAGCCCCTGTCCCTTATCCCTCTTCTTCTTAAAGCAATAGGCATGCACTTCTTTTTTCTCTTCCTTTTTCTCTTTGAGAGCAACACCTTCCACCTTGTCCCATGAAAGCATTGCCAGTGGGACTTCATTTATATCTTCTCCGTTGCTCCCATTGGACCTTAACTCTAAAACATCCTTGGCTTCCCATTCTCCCTCTTCAATTATTTGGAAATATTCTAGATATGGCCGTAACCCCTCATCTCTAGGTTGACACTGCCTTTCTTCTTTGCCTCCCAAGCACAACCCTCAAGAGGGAAGACCACATTCTCCCTAACTTCCACCATGTCTTCAAAACTCAAGTTATTAAAGAAAACAAAAGTATTACAGAAGAAAGTGAAGAGGTCACACCTTTGAGGGCAAAGCAAAACATCTTACAAAAGAGACCAAAACACAATCACCACCTACGCTTTGTCCCAACCATATGGGACCGGATACATGAATCACGTTCCACCATTCCATTCTATTCAATTCCATATCTACCGTCAAACATTAGACCCTTAAATCATTTCTCACTACTTCAACCCATGTCCGTTTTGGTTTTCCCTAGCTCTCCATAGCCCCTTCAACTTGAAAATATCACCTTACTAGTGTTGTAAATGGTCTTCTTTGCATGTACCCAAATCATCTTAGTCTACCTTCCCTCTATAAGACTATCAGTTTATAAAAGTCCATAAACATGGTTGGCCTGACATGAACCCGAGTCAAACTGGACCGATCCAACTCAATATAACAAATCAAGCCATTTGAATAGTGGCTAACAACTGGCAACTTGTGGTATCCTATCTTGGTTTCTAAAAGATATTCTAGAATAATGGTCAAAGAGATAACTAAAAGAAAGTACTATAAATAGGGATCTCTCTCTCTCTCTCTGCAACTGCCATTGCCTTGAATATTTGGAGGCACAACGTCTGCCTCATTGGAGTCTAGTTTGCTTAAACCCTTGTTGAGTTTTGGGCTTATATCACTTGTTTTTTATTTACATAGCATAGTTAGGGAGTTATTGGGCCTAAGGCAAATTAGTTTATGTTTAAGTTAAGAGTGTTTATTTAGATTTTACAAGTAGCCGACTTACTAAGGGCATACTTGTCATTGTACTCAGTTTTTATTTGTGCGTATATAAGCTAATGAAAGGGGCGGTCAGACCTAATTTTTGGCTTCTTCTATTCTCTTCAATTTCTCTCCTCTTTTCTTCTCTGCATAAACCTTCTCTTCTCTTTCTTATCCTCTTTCTTACACAGGTTTTATATCAAAACAGATCTTCTAAACTTTTCTACTTGGAAACAAAGCAAGTTTAGAGATTGTTTAATGTTGGAAAACGTGGGGTTATTGGTTCAGATCTGAAAATAGAATTGTATATATTCTTAGGATTGTGGAAGGATTGATTTAGAAAGTTTTTTCTTTCTATTTTTGTACTTTCTATTTTTTCTTCTTTCTATTTTCTTTTCTTTCTATTTTTCTTTCTTTCTATTTATTGCAGTAGCTTACTGTATAAATATGCCCA